GAGAGATATACAATAGTCGGCATTCCTTAAAGACCACAGCCTAGGCAATGCTATGGGCACATCTACTCTGCCAAACACAGCTGTTAGGAGTTAGAATTAACTTGATGGTTCCTAACAACAATAATCTTTTTAATACAGTACTTACGTGTGACACAAATGGCTAAGTACTTGACTATGAGAAACTTGACCTCTTCAGAGGACCTCAAAAGACTGGCATGGTTCTGTACATCCAGAAAGGTACGGTCTTGAAAAGCCTATGGACTTCAGTTCTGACGTATATGACGTTGTAATCAGTTGTGATTAATATCTAGTTTTTCAACCAGCAAATAAGTGGTGAATATTTATTAAGGCTTCAGGAATAAGGCAAAAATAACACATGGACTTCTTAAGGGCTTTTAATTTTGTAAAGGTCACGTGCATATATTTAGGTCTAACAGAAAGCTATAGAAAAATCTATATGTAACTATCCTGCTATGATAGTTTACAGAATGGGGTCAACCTTTGGGCTAAATTGTTCAAGAAGGGCTTCATTAGAGAAGCACATTATAGAATAAAGAGTCAAGGGGACCTTGAAAAATCCCATTAATTTTACAGATAAGGGGGAGGGGGAGGGACAGCTTTGAAGGAAGGAACAGTAATTTTCCAATACCACATACTCCTCTCACTGCCACTTAGTTAATTCCTTACAATCACTCATCATCAGATTTCCATGGCTATAAATCTTAATGGGAGGGGACTACCCATCTTCCTTCTTCAGAGCAGGGATGGTTTCTAATGAGTAGAGACATTTGTCCTTTTGGTCAGCAGCACAGCACTACAGATTATGGCACCAGAGCTTCTTATCACATGCTGTTTTCAGGTGGCATTGAGTTGACTACGACTCATCAATTCTATGAACAGCAGACCTGACCTATCCTGCGCCATCCTAACCCTCCATGCTACACTTAAGCCCATTGCTCTAGTCACTGTTTCAATCCATCCTGTAAGGGATTTTCTTTTTCCAAGCAAGATGGGCTTTTCCAAGGATTATAAATACTAAAGTATGTGAGATGGAGTGTCATCATCCTCTATAAGGGGGACCCTGGCTGTACCTTCCCTAAGACACATTTGTTTTGGCAGTCCATAGGATCGTCAGCATTCTTTTCCAACACTATAACTCAAAAGCATCAATTCTTCTGCTGTCATCTTTAATCAATGTCCAGCTTTCTTATGCACAAGCCATGATCTTCCTTTTCACACAGAGAAGTGAAAAAACTTGGATAGCAGGTCAGGTATTTGGTTTCCCAGCTTAACTTTTTTCCTATATTTTTAATTATTACTCTGAGATAGAAAATATTTCAATGGAGGAAGATGATGGAAACAAGAGTATGCTGGCCACAGTGGCAAAGATTAGTGGCTGGAATATAACAGGAAGAGGCTATATTTGAGAACAAAGTGCTGAACTTAGCTGCAGAACAGAGCGTGAGAGGAGGACTGGGACATGAGGCTGAAAGCAGGGCAGATGGGACAACTGGAGGCTATCAGAAGACAGTCTAATGGAGACTTTTTCACAGTATGATTTAAAGGACACAAGTGGCAGAATTTATTTATAAATTCTAAAGTTTCTTTGATGCTGCTATATGAAGCTGACTGTTACAGAGAATTACAATCAAAGAACAGAAAATCTTTCTGATAAGAAAAGAAATAGTCATCTATCAGTAGCATATGCATTGTTGCTGTGATGTGCCATTGAGTCGACTACACTCAGTAGTTCTGAACCTTGCTCTGTCTTAGCCAATTCCACTATCTCTGACACACCTACTCTCATTATCCTAGTAACGTGTCAATCCATTTCATCTAGGCTATTTCTGTCCTGCGCATCTCTCTCCGAATACTGGCCCCTCCTGGCAACATGCCCAAGTATGTGAAATGAAGTCTCAAAATCCTTGCCTCCAGGGAGCAGCCTAGTTTCATCCTCTCCAGGACAGACCTGTTAGTTCTCTTAGCAGACCATGGAATATTCAATACTCTTCTCCAGCACCACAGCTCAGAAGCATCAATTCTTCTGTCATCCTTGGTCACTGTCCAGTTCTCAGCTGTACAGTAAGCAACTGAGAAGAGCATGGCCTGGATCAGGCACAACTTGGTCTCTAGACTAACATCATACACATGTTGCTGTTGTGTACTACACAGTCAGAACCAACCCATAGCTGATCCTCCAGTGGGTTTTCAGAGGCAGTTAACTGCATGAGAAGAGATTCCTCATCCTTCTACAGAGCAGCTGGTGGCCTTGAACCATGTGTCTTTGAGATTGTGAGGCAGCTTCTTGCCACTAGTCTTCCCATTCTCCAAAGTCAAAGGTGGCAGAAGAGGAGTCAAAGGAGGCGAGACATTGTGACAGGCTGATCATGGTCGGGGTATGTAATATTACTGAGAGCCAGATGTCTGTGACTCCCCCTGTCTTCCACCTACACCTCCTGAGGAGCTTCTGTTTGGAGTCTCCGTGCAGTTGTAGGTGCAGCTTGCAGTGTCTTAAGGGAAACTCGGATCATGCATGAAAATCAGCAGGATTGTCCATGCTCACCAGATACTAGGGTCCAACTCTGTACCTAGAGCTGCAGCCGTTCTCCCCTCACCCCACTTGTCCTGATGCCAAATGCTCTACCTTACTGTCTTGTTCCCTTCTTCTGAATGAGGAGCCGAATGTAGCAAACACCCTAGATGCTGCACTGCTACTTGTGTTGCATTTCAGAACAATTTCAAAGAACTTTCAAAGCAAACCTCCATCCTATCCTCCTCTCAGGTTGCAGCTTTCCACAGTCCCGAGAGTTTAACTCTGCTCCTGTCCTTCTGGTCACTGGCTGGATTCAAATTCAACCCAGACAACCCTCCGGAAGCCCTGACTCTACTACTGCTCAAGTGTGAGTACTGCCTTTGCTGAGAAAAAACTCCTTTTGCATCTCACACAGTAAACTCCTAGGATATAGGTCACATCTGGGATATTTCAAAGATTTCTTGAGCATTGTAACTTGAATTTCAGGAATCTTCCTTTCAAGGTTGTTCCTTAGCAAAATAATTCAAACTCTGCTCTGTTTCCTTGGTCTAATTTTTGTCACCGTGCTATTTTCTTGATGCCGAGATTCCAGAAGATTCTGTGGTTAAGGCCATTCAGGGAAGGACAGAATCCTGGTGCACAAAGTGTACCAGCGTTTAACTACCGAGGACAAGTCTGTAGAGAGCTCTGGGCTAATGAAGACCTAAAAGTCCACACAGCCCTCACTCTTCAAAGAAGTATGAGAACTTGAAATCTCGAGTATTTAGTACATGGATCAAATATAAGATGGTCCACTGATCTTCATTTTCCTACCCTGATACATAGATTCAGCAGAAGAAAGGAAAAAAAAAACCCAGCAAAAGAATAAAAATGTACATAGAATTTTCCAGAGTGAGGAAAAAGCATGTATAACTTATTGTTCCCTTTTTGATTCTTCATTAGAGAAAATGAAATAGGAAATGATGTTTCTAAATTGCATAACAATATACACATGTTCTTTTTAGCTGGCAACAATAAGAATTTACCAGGGACCTGGCCCTGGCTGGAAGAGGAGCAGGCGTGTGGATTGAGGCCACCAGATGCTCTGCAGGACAAGGAAGGACAAATCCCTTCTTAATCGCCTCTGAAAACCCACTGGAGGGTCAGCTATGGGTTGGTTCTGACTCCACAGTACACACAACACAATAGGCTTCACTTGATCTGTACAGTAGGTTTACATTAGGGCTTGGTCTATTTTTATCCCCAAGTTAAATATCAGGAATGTGGGACTTAGAAAGATAAGAGCGATGTGCCCAAGTCACACACTCATATACGAACGAGCTCCTATCCGGATTCAGGACACAAAAGTGCTTCTAAGTCTGTACTTAACCAGTCAACCATGCAATGAGTAATTTATTCTTTTTTAAAAAAGCAACATTTAAAACTGTAAGTTTTTCAAGAGCAAAATATATGAAGAAAATATATTACGAGTAAAAGAGAAAGAGACTAAGCAAACTCAAAGTCGTTGTTCTGAATTTAAGATTAATTTTAAAACAAACACAGGTGCTCTTTGCTGTGGTAATTCAGTTGAGGACAATTACCGGAGATTTCTAAATGGAAAATACTCATCCATTCCCCCATAAATATATACTGAATATCTTACTGTGTACCAAGGGCTGCTATAGAAATGGATACAGAGTTTAGAAGACAAATGTAGTCCCTGCACGGGAGGTCCATGGTGACAAGTTGGGAAGACAGGCATTCACTGTGTAAATATAGTAGCATCTGACTAGTGTAAGGAAAGAGAAAGAGCAGGGAATATAAAGTGGGGAACCTAACATAGTTGAACACAAGGGAAAGCCTTCTCAAAAGGCAGAGACAAATGGTATAAAAAGAGGACAAGGAGTGCTCCACGCAGAGGGAAGAGCATGCACCAAGAATCAGAAAGGAGATAAAAAAAGAGAAGGAAGTTCATAGTTGATCAAGCTAATACAAAGTGTAAGGGGGCCAGGTGTTCAGACCAGAGAGGTGGTCAGCGCCTGAGGCTGTAAGTTACACCAAAGACTTTCACTGTGTTCTCAGGGCAAGCGAAAGGAAATTTAAATAAAGTAAAAATGAGCTATCTAGTTTATTTCAGAAGTACCAATCTGGCTGCCGAGTGGAGTAAGGTATGACTAGAACGATGTGGGCGTCTACTGTAATCCAAGTGGCAGGAGATGGTGAGATAGCCCGGAGTGACAGACGTGGGAAAGAACAGATGTTTATGAAGTAGAACGGACTGGGCTTTATGGGAAGGGGAAGTGATTTTAGCTCTGAAGACATTCTAAAATTTAGAAGGCAGAAGACACTCCTCTTTAAACCTTTAATCGAGAAAGGTGAAAAAAGAATTATCTCCAAAACTTATTCCAATAAGGAGAAGAATCTCATTGCTTTTACTTTGTTATTGACATGTATTCATTATAGCGTGTGAGGTCCAGTTCCAACTCACCTGGTTACCAACCAACAGTAGGTGTTCTCCAAGGAGAAAATCTTTCAGCATATCTTCCATCACTATCATGTGCTTGAAAAAAAAAAACCAAACAAAAACCACCTAGAAGTTAATTATGTTTTATACAGTTGAGGTGACATAAGGCAGTAACTATAAAATTGTCATTATGGGAAAATTATTATCTATTATAACAGTCAATACTCAAACACAGTAACTTTAAAAATCAACAAAACTAATGTCGTGGTTATAAGTAAGTTACATAACCAATTAGGTCAATGATATGGAATATTTTAAAATAATCTGCCTAAGCAAGGCAAAGTCACTGACAATATTTGAAAGTTTTAAAAATTCAATTCAAATAGCTTTCAGTTATTGAAGTATAGTATTGGTATACAATTTAATGTGCTATTTAAATTACAATTTGCTAATGGAATTATACTAAGGCTTCCTCAAATAACTGGAGTTTTCCATGGAACACTTCACACAGATTTTTTTTTAAAATATTACCTTAAATATTATTCATAATTTCAGTGTAAAAAATAGATTATTTCTATTTCATACTTTTCATTCTAATTGTTAAATTTAAGAAAAAAATTTTTACCATAGAGAAAAAACCCACATATTTTGCTGTTGTTATTGTTATGTGCCATCAAGTTGACTATGACTCATGCACAATAACTCTGAGTCCTGCTCTACAATGAGCCAATCTCACTGTATCTAACACACCATCATTGTCCCAGTTATTGTGGCAAGCTATCTCATCTGAGTCTTCTTTTCCGGAGATGTCCCTCAACCCTTCCAAGCATGATCTCCTTCTTCAAAAAACTGGTCCCTGCTGGATACATGCCTGAAGTATGGGAGATGAAGTCTCACAATCCTTGCCTCCAAGGATTTTAGACTGTAGTACATAAGCATTAAAGGATATTTTTAAAGTCCATTAAATATATTCCAACTCAGCTGTTTTATAACAACAGAAAAATAGTTTTACCTCTCAAAAACTAATTACAGGTGGAGAACAGCTTAATAAAAATAATTTTTCATTGCTACCTGTCCTAAAAAGTATATCTGCCTTTTAATAATTCCACAGAAAATTATTAACAACCCCCATCTCAATTAACAATCTCAATTGCTTCTCCATCTATTATGATGCTGCCAACTGGCCCAGTGGTGAGAATCTTGGGGTCTTTTATGTTGAGCTTCAATCTATATTGCAAACTATAGTCTTGACCCTCTGAAGCAAATGCTGAGACCCTACTCAGTTTCAGCAAGTAAGGTTGTGCCATTGGCATAACCCATGTTTTTGATGAGTCTTCCACCAATCCTAATGCCGCATTTTTCCTCATAAAATCTAGCCTCTCAAATGATCTGTTCTGCATACAGATAAAAAAAAATATATAAAGACAGGACACATCCCTGATGTACTCCATTCCTGATTTTGAAATATACAGTGTTTCCTTACTCTGTTTTGATGACTGCCTCCTGGTCCAAGTATAGGTTTCACATGAGCACAATCAGATGTCTGGCATTCTCAGTCTTCTCAAGGCTAGCCACAATATTTTGTGTTTCACACAGTCAAATGCCTTTGCATAGACTATGAAAGACATAGACAGACAGACATCCCTCTGGTACTCTTTGCTTTTGGCCAAGATACAACTAGTGCCAAGGCCTTTTCTAAATCTCACTTGTATTTCTGGTAGCTCTCTGTTGATGTACTGTTCCAGTCACTTTAGATAATCTTCAGCAGGATTTTGCTTGTGTGTAATATTAGTGATGTTGTTGTATAGTTCTTTAATTCCCCATTCAGTTTGATCTTTTTTTTTTTTTGAATGGGAATAAATAGGTGTCTCTTCCAGTCAGGTGGCTGTCCTCCAGGTATCTTGGCAGAGCCTGGTGAGCACATCTCGAGCAGCATCTGTCTGTTGAAATACATCAATTGGTATTCCATCCATTCGCAGGGCCTTGTTTTTTGCCAATTTCTTCAGAGACGCTTGAACTTCCTCCATCACCATTGTCTTTTGAACACACGTTGTTTCATAAAAAACTTCTATGCCAGCCAATTCTTTTTGGTACAGTGACTCTGTGTACTCTTCTATCTTCTTTTGATGCTTTCTGGATCATTCAATATTCTGCCCATACAATCCTAACATATTTCAACTTGAGGTTTGAATTTGTTCTTCAGTTCTTTCTCCCTTAAGTAAGTCATAAACGATCATTACATGATAGGTACAGGGAGGTTTACAACTCACCACAATTAATAATATCTATTATTTTTCCTCCTCATTTTCCTACATCAAATTCACAATGGCCTCAAAGGTAGTAAGTTACTGAAGTTTGCTGTTTCTAAAAAGGAACCTGGTCATGCTGTAAGCCAAAACTGTGCTGTTAAACAAAGAGTCGGTGGCTTGGATTCACCAGTAGCTCTGCAGAAGAAAGTGGAGGTAGTCTCAAGTAAAGATTTACAGCCTTGGAAACCCTATGGGACAGTTCTACTATGTACTATAGGGTAGCTATAAATCAGAATGATGGCAAGGGGCTATTTATAAAGGAGTCCCTGGCTATCCCTTAAGCAAACTGGATGCTAAACAAACATGTGGTGGTTCAAGTTAAAAGGTACCTTTGAAAAAACATCTGGCCTTCCAGGTAACTACTGAAAAATTAACCCTTGAAAAATCTATGGAGGACATTTCTACTCTGGCACACATGAGAGTACAATGAGTTAGAATACATTTCATAGCAAAAGTAATTTTAATTCCTCCCCCCTTCAACTGTAAGAACCAGTACTGGCTTTTAAAAATTCCTAACAGTCACAATAAAAAAACACAGTCCAAACACATTTTGGGAGGTGGTTATTGATTAATTGTCAAGGTTATTTAGATACTAGAAGACATGTATAGTAGAAAAAACTTGAAAAAAAGACTTTAAAATCAGTAACAATAGGAACGAAGAGTGTTCTCCTTTCAGAAATCTTTATCCATATCATATTTGTTCATTCTGATTAGAAACTGGAATTCAAATTTCTTGTGCTGAATTAATTTATCAATTGCCAAAACTTATTTAGATCAGTTCTTTAAGTAAATGAGTTACAGAAGATTGCTTAGTACTTGTTTGTTTTCTTATAGAGCATGATTTAAGTAACTACATAGTCATTTAATTTGATAATACTTTGAAAGTTATTTTAAGATTTACTACAAAAAAACCTATATATACTTAAGTTCCTTCTAATTCTTGTTATAAAGCAAAACATAATCAGGGCACCCTTTGAATCTCTGAGTGGATTTATAATGCCATATAACTGATTTATCCATTTTTAACCCATTACTAAAAGTCCCATGTTTCTATTCTTATTTACAGGTTCTAAAAAAATTAAAACAATTCAATTAACTTTTTTTTGAATGAAATGCATGATGATCAGCATGATGCTGATATTTTCAAGTTTGACATTTGCTTTTTAATTTGTTATATGGTGGATTTTTGTCATAAATTCTATTTGTCTTTTCCTTTGGAGATTCTAGCTTAGAAAGAAAAATAGATTTTCCCCTCCTTTTTGAACAAATGAGTATTACTTTGCTGTTTTTTATTTTTTTAAGAGTTTTCACACTAGAGGTTTTTTTTTTAGAGTTTTAATAATTCTTTTAAGTAAGGTGGCTACACCAACTTATTGTCTTCCTTTAAAAGAGAAGATAATGTTAATAATTACATTCAGATAAAAAATGAAAATAAGACCTATCTAAAGTAAACTAAGATTTATGACTGTCTCAGTTAAAAGAAAATATAAGATATCATTGTAATCTGTGTTCTGGTGAAAATGCAAACCCAGAAAACTCTTGTAGTAATAAATGAGGTAATTTGCATGAGGCTAAAATCTTTGCAATGAGCACTAGCATATCCAAGTGAAAAAGCAATGTAAATAGTATAAAGTAGTGATTTTATCAACTCTGATAAATGACGATAGTTATAGAGGGGCTACAGGCCTTTTGTTCATAGGGTCTCTATGAGTTGTGCTCTACTTGACAGTCATCAACAACACAACAATCCAGTGATATTCATGGTTTTCTTCTTTATTAGTTTCATGTCTTCCTACTTCATGCCCTCATTATATCTAATTGGATTTTTCAAATCAAGAAACATTAGCTAAGTCTAGTCACCAAACGAATTCTTTGCTCAAACTCTCTAACCTCATGACACTGCAGATAAGTTTTCATTCCCACTTCTCTCACTGTCTCTCAATTCCGTCCTGCCTCTCCAGCAATTTCTGTCTATAGTTTTTCTTAACCAGAATCTTTTGAAGTAGCCTACCTTCACCCAAGTCCCTATTATCCATATGCTTACTTTCACTGCCATTTCATGCACTTTCTTTGGGTCACTGTACAGGTGGAGCAGGTTGAGCTTACCTGTATTTAGGAATCGAGCTCAGGGGAGCGTGTGTGCAGTGGGTGGGCACTTGTATATCTGTGCTTGAAGAGCCAACTCTGATCTGCCCTACCTAAGTCATCACATCCACCTCAGAGCTTCTGCTATCAACTATGCACCACTTAACCCAAATACGTCCTATGAACAAGGAACACTGAATACTGTGTGAACATCATATTAAAACTTAATTGTTCTCACTGCTGCTGTCACTGTTGGAGCTGCTGGTGGAAAGTGAAGGAACACACAGGAGGAGATTCAGCCCTGGCTGTGAGGGCAGGAACTGGAGCAGAGCAAGAGGAAGCCAGGGGGAGGAATCATGCCCAGTCTCACCCACTTCTTAATGTACCTGAGCTACCGGAGCAGCCCAGTTCAAGAGACCCCCACACTTAACCAACCCGTACTTGCTACTGACAAAATCCAGAGTGCCTGTCCAGACCCATGACCTCTGTCTCTCTCCTGCCTTTGGTCCAGTAATTGAAGAATCAGTAATTTAAAACCATTGGAGGAAAGAATATGTAAAAGGAGAGCTACTTTTCCTTCTGAGAGGGACAAAACCCAAAAAATTCTTATGAGACCAGAGACTTATATGGAGTTGGTTTTTGTTCCAATAGATGTTAAGTGATGCATGGTTGTATACTATTGTTGCTATGTGCTGTCAAATT